TCAGCCTTTCTGCTCCTATGATGCTGCTTGGCCTGCTGTGTTCATCCAGCTCTGCACCATGCTACCCCATCTGCCTTGCGGCAACTCTCTCCCTTTCCACCCCTGTCCACCTCACCTGGTGTCCTAACCTTTATTCAGAGTTTGTTAAAACGCGTCAGGATTTTTAATTCTTGGAATATGGCATTAATGTTGAGCAAAGGGAAGTGATTTTAGGCTGGTCCACTCCAATGCTGGCTGAGCAGGATTCCTTGCCTTAGAATACTTCAGCTGGAAAGGCTCCTGGTCCAGACATTCATACAGGGAACTCCTCCAAACGTAGCTGTTTTTATTTCTTGTCTGTTCAGGGTCGGAAATAAAGTTTGTGACTCTGATTGAATGATCTGGGCCTACGTAAAGATTGAATTTTAGTTTTCAGGAACTATAAAGGAGCTGAATGCAGCTAAGGTGTTAATGAATAATGAATGGTGAATGCTTAATGTGTAGTTTTTGCTCCTCAATTCAAGTGAGCAATCATGGTGCAAGATTTCCATTTGGCACTGTGTATTACTTTTGTCACAAGTTAGTGCATTGAATCAGAAATTACTGCATTAATCAAGCCTGTTATAACAAGTGCATGTTTTATCTCGGGTCCTTCTGACCCATCTCAGTTAGGTCTAATGCTCCTTGGCTGCAAACATGGAGGTTATTGGAGCAAAAACGGGACATGACATGCTGGAAATACTCAGCAGGCCTGGTGCATCTGCTGGAAAAGAAATAAGGTTGTTATTTCAGGGCTGTAACACTTGCCTTAGAACAGCTTACTGTTGGGACATATCCCTGTGCGGTGTCTCCTTACAGGCCAGTAACTTAAAATATAATTCTGCAGCATAGCTGATCTGATTACTGGTAAAGAATTCTCTTTTTGGATCTTTGATTCATCCATGGTCAAGAAGCTAGGAGCCAATCACTTAAACTTGTAGAAGGTGGGCAGCTTGCAAAAACTTCCTTATTGCTTCTTCCCTATGGGAAAGCACTTTGCTTCTACTTTCCACACTTAAACCGATTTAAGAATTGAGGTGTAGATACAGTTCTAAACTCAAATATCACAAGCTGCAATGCACTGAGGTAA